AAACTGCTGAGTCTATCAATGTGCTGTGTAATGTAAATTACTTTTAGTTGTCTGTATGTTGACCATCACACCTCCGGTGCAAGTCCAGCACCATGGACAAGTTGGTTCACCATGGGATCATGGTGGCAGGTGCTTATGAAGATAGCTTTACCATTTGTAGGATTGTTTTTCATATTTTTCCTTTTTATTTGTTGCTTAATACCATGTCTCCAGTCAATGATTAAGAGAATGATAGGATCCACTCTAATCCAGTATTCAGCTGTAACTTATGTTCAACTCCGCCAAGATGCTGATGCCGATACTGATGATATGGTGGCAATTGTGTAATCTGTTACACGGATAATGATCGCTTCCTCGGGAAGGGTCGGGTAGGAATTTTCCTCTATTGGAGAGGTTTTGCCTACTCAAGGGACATATTTTTGAAGCTTTTTAGATTCTTGATGAATCTTACATTTTTGCTTAAGTTTTACATTTTAATCCTTTTCATATTTTTGTTTTTTTCATATTGATCTTTGATTACTGAATTCCCTATCTGCAATGCATTTATGATGTGTGTAGTAAAAATCTTTTTAGAAGTGCTACATGCTAATGTTTATATGCACAAGAGGAGGGAAATGTCAGGTTTATTCAATGATGATTATAAAATTAATGTGTTCTTATGAAACATTTTTGCAAGGGGATGCTCCACTCCTGTCTCATGATTCAGTCAGGAGACAATCCTGCCTTGTGATTCTGATGGAGCATCTTGTCTTTATGAACTGATTAATTGTTCTGTCAGAACAAATACTGTTTTGTAACCATGTTTTATGTTCTGTTAATAAAAGACGGCTGCAGGAGGGGATTCGGAGAAGGAAAGCTTGAAGTTGGGTTGGGCTTTTTCTTTCTGCTCCTGCAGAAGCTGCTTGAATCTCTTTCCTGTGTAGACTCAATTTCTATTTATTTGCAAACCTACATTTTCTGAATCTAACATTCTACTTCAAGTTTCTTCCTGTTCAAATGGAGTTTTTCTCTCCACTGTCGCAACAAGTATGCTTAGTGTGAGGGATAGCTGAGTCAATCTAACATTTCCTTTCTCTACCT